TTTTACTGTGGTATAATATTGATTTTAGGCAGTTTAATTCAATTTAAAATAGAATACTTTCCATCTTATGTGCTTTATGAAGTGTCCTATTTTTTTTTATTTTAGTTTGATTTTGTAGTCATGTAGGTTTCATGCTGGTATATTTTTCAATAAGTAATTAAAATATGTGGGTTCCATATTGATGTAAGATAGATTTTTATTAGAAAATATAATACAGAATTGAATGCTATTAAAAGTGATAAAGCAATAATAAAAAATCTCCAAAAGTGCTCAATTGAAAATAATTTTTCAGGAGCAATAGTGATGTCAAAGATAATATAAAGCCAAAAATGCTGACAGTCAATGGGGCACTGAGAAAAAAGACATTTAAGAGAAACAGTCTTTACAATAAAGTGCTTGATATCAAAGATAAAGCATTAATAGGATTAATGTGAGTAAAATTTGTCACTTAGCTGATTGATGTTAACTTCAGCATCCCGACTCCAGAGTTTCGTAGACGGTCCTGTTCGTCCACATTTCAAGGGATATCAGCAATTTACTTTTATTAATATTTTTCGATTTTTAATTTTTATACACATTTAGAACTAATGTAATTTTTTTCTGTATTCTCTGTGTTTGTGTGTGCGCTTGTCCGCGCCTATCTGCACGGAGGTGCGACGTAATCATGTTGCACTTTTTCTTCGTTTTTTTATCTGCTTTGATCCGGCCATAAACATATGAACTATTTTTAGTTAGCTATTTATTTACTTTTATTTATGGGCATTTTAGTTTTTTACCTAGAGAGGGTACATTCCGATTATTTACATTTTTTATATAAATAATTGTTACTACTAATGTTTAGGCAATAAATATTTGTATATATTTATGCATATGTATGTGTGTGTATGTGTGCGTATGATACCAATGATGTTAATGTTTAAATGGTAAATATTTATACATACATATGCTCATACATACATACATACATACACACACATGCACATATATGCATAGATACACATTTATATATTTTAAAACATTTTCATGCTTATACATTCTTTTTATAGATACAAATATTTAAGTAAATGCCCTGTTTATAATAAACAGTATTAGACAACATTTACCGACCTGAATGTCCGAGAAATTTTCATAGAAAATATTCATCCTCCGAAAATTCGTCCTATGTTAAAAAAATGTCTTAAAATAATTGTTGAACTTTGTCCATTTCATAATGTGTGACGACATTTATATATGTACACTGCTTTTTTTTTTAATTGGGTTTGGTGATATCATTAGGAGGTTACATTTATAATTAAGTTTATTATTGTTAGAAAGTGCGGATATAGATACTGTGAATGCAGAAATCAATGAATCAACATTGCATGGTAACTCTCTCTCTCTCTCTCTCTCTCTCTCTCTAAATATATATATATATATATATAGTGATTTTCCAACCGTAGGTTAGAGTGGCACAAGGCCAAACATAGAGGGAACTCAGTGAGGATCGAACTCCCTACTCTGTGGTAACTGTTCTAGCGATAAAAGCTTGCTAACCATTACACCACCTCGAGATACCCCCTCTCCTCCTCCTCTCTTTTTATACACACACACACATATATATATATATATATATATATATATATATATATATATATATATATATATATATATATATATATATATATATATATATATATATATATATATATAATAAAAGAGAGAGAGATTATATATATATATATATATATATAGTGAGAGAGAGAGATGTTGATTCTTTAATTTCTGTATTCAAAGTATCTATATCCATAAAAGCTATATCTCCCATATTGAATATTGCCTACTTGCTGCAGAAAGACCAGCAGTGCACCTAGCTGGGTGGGGCTATGATCCTATACTCGATAACAGGGTCTAATAACACCAAAGAGGATGTTTTTAGCACAATATTTAGCTAATAATAGGTTTTGAGTGATACCCAGTATTTTGTTTGTCGTTGCTACTGTTTCTCTCTACATATCTGATCGCTATCCTTATTTACACTATTTACAACTTGACTTTTGCCATAAGAAATGAATGAGAGCTAAGCTCAACACCAGCAGCTGTAGTTAAAAAATCAATGCTGTCAATCAGCAGTGGCAATCACCAGCAAGCAAGTTAGTGTTAAAGCTGCAGATTCTTCACTCAGCATCTTTTTTAATTTTTTAATGTGCCTTGTTCCTTCAGCACGTAGGCGATCTTCGCCTTCCAGCTTCTCCTGTTTTGTATTTTTGTTATTTGTCCCAGACCCTGTTCTACCATCCCCTTGCACAATCCCATTAAGTATGTCACGTGATGCTTTCCCCTGATCCTTTTACTCTGTATCCGTCTTGTGAGTATCCGATTTTCCAAGCACCCCTTCCTCATTACGTATCCCAGAAATATTAGCTGCCTCTTCCTGACTTTAAGTATAAGTTTCCTCTTTATTTCCATTCTCTCCAAAACCTCGTCGTTGCTCACATGTTCGGCCCATTGTATCCTTAGCATCCTTCTGTAGAATTACATTTCTATTGCTTCGAGTCTCTTCCTCATCTTTAAGGAGATTGTCCAGCATCTCCTGCCATGCAGGAGGGCAGATATCACGTAACAGTTAAGTATTCTTTTCTTTGTTTCCAACGAAACTTTCCTGTCTCGTAATACTCTACTTAGCTTTTGGAATGCATCTTTGGCCGTCCCAAAACGTCTTCGCATCTCAGTATAGCAATTTCCGTCCTCTGCTAGAACATTTACTAGATATTTAAATTTCTGTTCCTGCTTGATTCTAGCGTCCCCGACCTGTAAATTGCATTTTGGGCTCATCTTTTTGCTGATAACCATGCATTCTATCTTATTTTAATTTATGCTTAGTCCCTTCTTCTCGCTCTCCTTCGTTGCCTGCTGTGAGAGGTTTTGTAGTTTCCTTTCCGTGTCTGTTATCAGCACTGTATCATCTGCATATCTTATGTTGTTAAGATTATAGCCACCAATGACGAATCCCGATAAGATTTCTAGTTCTCTCGGAATTGCCTCGCTATATAGATTAAAATAAATCCGGTAAATCTTGCTTTACACCCTTACTATTTTTATATATCTGCTTAACTCATTTTTATCTGTATATAACCGGTTTGCTGCCAATAGAGATTCTTTTATTATTCTAATGTCTTTCCCGAATGTCAGGTAGCTGAGCAGTTCTAACAGATCTTTAAGGTGTACTTTGTCGAAGTCCTTTGCGTAGTCTATAAAACACAGGTACACGTTCTTCTGCATTTGTACGCTTTTTCTGATAACATTCTGCGCATAAATATCGCGTTCCTTGTTCCGGTTTATTTAATGAACCCGCACTGTTCTTGTCCTATCTCTGGCCTGATTCTGCTGCGCGCTCTATTCATCAGAATTCGGGTGATTAGTTTTGTTATGTGTTTCTTTAGACTGACTGTTCGGTGGAGTTCACATTCGTTTGCGCCTGATTTCTAAGGCAGTGTTATGAAAATAGATCTGCTTCGCTCTTCCGGTAAATCCCCTCTGCTTTAGATTTAATTTATTATTTCTCTATTCTTTTCTATGCTGGAATCATCTAAGGCTGCCAGCATCTCTATTACAATTCTATCTGGCCCTGCCGCTTCATTTCTGTTCAATTTGGCCAGTGCAGCTTCCACTTCGGGTTTTATCATTTCCGGCCCGTCGGTATTTCTCTGTATTGCTGGTTTTTCACTTTGTCGTAAAAGAGATGTCCAATATATTCGTTCCAGTGCTAAAGAATTTTTTCTTTCACTTATATGAGCGTTCCGTCCCTTGATTTTATGCAGCCTGCTGGTGATCATATCTTTTGTCCTGCTATTATTTTTCTATGCATATCTACTTTATCTGTAATACTCATTGTTTCTATTTCTGCACATTTTTCGTTGAGCCATTCTGCCTGCATTTGTTGTTTATTTAATTGTGTAGTTTTCTTTATTCCGTTCCATGTCTAGGCATTGTTTTCTGTATCCTTTGTATCATGTCGACAATCTCATTTGTGACCCATTCATTTTTTTCTTCTTCGTCCATTCTCCTTTAGGATAATGTCGGATGTCACTGAAGGTTTTCTTAGTGTGTCCCATTTCGAGTTTCCATTTACATTTTGTCTCTCGTATCTTCTTTTCGCACTGTCCATATATTTTCCTTCAGGTTCGAGTCATTTAGGAGTCTGTTGTATTTCAATTTGGGTGCTGCGTTAGGCTTCTCTAGTTTTCGTAATTTTACTCTTATTTGACATATAAAAGAAAGGTGGTCGTTTCTGCAGTCGTCACTTGGATAGGTTTTACAGAGTTAAATCGTTGTTTTTCTGTATTTGGTTACATAGTAATTCAGATTTCAAACCCTAAACCCGGACTTCTTGGACTCAATGAAAACGGGGCAATATCCCCTAGAAATGGTCAGCGGAACGAGAACAATCTGCCCCCGTAGGATTCAGTTCAATATTTCCTAAATTTTACAAGTAACTGATGAAGGCCGGAGAGCACAATGACCGAAACATTGTGATAATAACAATAAAGATGAAGACTATCGTCTGCATGCAAATAATATTGTTGCTTTATTTTGCTTTTGTAATATCCCCCGCCTCTTCAATGAACGAGAAATACGAAGAGACGAAGAAATAGTATGAAAACAATAAAGATGAGGATATTAGACTAACTCAAAGAATAATGACAACAGATCATCTGATACGATATTTGGAAACCCAGAGAACCAATAGGTCTTTAATGTAGTGATAAAGCAACACAGATCAGGATATTATTGATTGATTAATTGATTGATTTGTTTTTTAATGTTTATCAACCTTTTGCTGATCATTTAAATCCAGAAATTATTTTTAGATTGTAAGAATTTTTTGGAAATAATAACGATTTACTAATACAAGTCCTACTAATTAATAATTGTGCGTAAGTGAAGATAACAAACCCAACTGGAATCGGAACTCGGATCCCCGATTTCTAATTCCAAGCTGTTACACAAAACGCAGATCCAAGCTTACAGCACCTGGTATTCCCAAGCTGTCACCCATATAGGTACTGACCAGGTTCGATGTTGCTTAACTTCGGTGCTCGTACAAGAACCGGTGAAATGAACATGTTATGGCCGTAACCTATCATTATATTAGTCAAAATAATTCGCGTGATAATGACGTCTTATCAGGACTTCCGATTATATGAGAAAACCTGAGGAGTGCAACGACTGGAAAGTAATAAACAATAAAATAGACCTACAAGAAAGAAAAAGTCACGAAATACTGATAATGACTCATATTTAAATTTCTGCCATGCATTTATCAACCCTGCCATCGTATATTGACAGGTTGCCATAAGGTTTCATAATACTAACAAGAAAATGTCTCTAGAAAATAGATTTTATCCAATACACTAGTCTTGTCGGGTGCTGGTTTTGAAGTGCGATTTTAAGCAGGCAAATAAAAAAAATGAAGGCCAGAAAGGTCTGCGTGCCTGTTCACTCGACTTATCCCCTGTAATTAAAGCAACGGGTTGTGGGCGATGATTGACAGGTGCAGCAAGTATCGGTCAGTCTAGGAATATTATAGCCTTCAAAAGGCAGTCGAGTCAACGTTAGGTCGATAATTATACAGCCTCGTCGATAATAGCAAGTTCCTAAAGACCAGGATTTTTCTTCTTAAACTTGCTTGTCTTTCAATCTTTCTTTTTTCCATCGAATGTGAATATGAACATGTGAAAAGGAGCACATCTACACGCATATTTATATGCACACACGCACACATACACACACACACTTAAATATATATTTTGTGTACTTATTAGAATATATATTTCGTGTTCTTATTAAAATATATAATATTCAAATATGCACTTCATATATATATATATATATATATATATATATATATTTACACACACACACACACACATATATATATATATATATATATATATATATATATATATATATATATATATATATATATATATATTATAACTTTAAACGTTATTTTTAATGGATACCTATATCTGAGTAGACGTTCCGTTTATTTTAAACATCATATTTATTTTCTACTGGCCTGAATATTCGAAAAATGTTATTAAAGAAAAACATGTGTGTCCTATACGCATATGAGTACATATTAAGTATGTGTATGTAATGTGAGAGAGATTGATAGAAAGCAACAATGTATGCCTGCGTATGTGTATGTGCGTGTGTGTGTGTATGTGAACATATATTAATATATATTAGGTTGAATCATAAATAATTTCCTTTTTTTACCAATTTTATTCTTCAAAAAACAAGGTACAATTACATTTTATTCAATTATATCTTCACCATTATTTGTAATGTCATGTTGCCACTTCTCCCGAAGATCTCCGATGCCTTTTGAGGAAGATTCTATTGGTTTTGATGTGAGAAAGTTTTTGGACGAAGTCTTGATTCTGGTTATTAGATACTAGCAGTAGAGCCCAGCGTTGCCCGGGGATGTAACAGTAAGAGATAGATCAAGTATCGACCATCATAAAGACTGAAAAATAAAATTGACAAAAATTATTGTTTAAGGTTGACGGACACGCATGTCTTAATTAGTTTTTTTTTTACGAATTGGTCAAACCCAAAGCACTCTGAATGTAAAAATAAAGAAAAAAGTGTGCAAGACAATAAGAAACACTACCTGCCAAAAAAAAAGTGAAGTTTTGTTGAAATCGGTTGAAAAAAGTAGGAAATCCGATCCCATATATAAACGAACACACACACAGAAACAACCTGGGTTTTATAAGTATAACTCGATATGAGTTGTCCCCCTTTCGTTCTGGCGACAGAATCGTGTTTTATCGTGTTTTCAAATTGATTTCGTGCAAAAAAAATTGTGTTTTTCCAATTTTTGGCGCTGTCAGAACCACTGCAAGTGGTCCTGTGAAGTTTTGTTGAAATCGGTTGAAAAATGTAGGAAATCCGATCCAATATATAAACGTACAGACACACACACACACAATCTGCGTAAGATTTTTTATTTTTCCATAAAAGGGTTTTGCAGTGATCAAGAAAGCAATAATCGGTTGGTGCAAGGACCAGTGAATATGGTGGATGGAGAAGAACAGACCAACATAGTTTCAAAATTTTTTCTTGTCTAAATCTTGCTGGACATAGCATTGAGTTGTCATGGAAAAGAACATTTTTCCTACTGACCAGCACAGAACATTTTCAACAAAGATTTTATGGACACGTTTCAGCTACTGGACGTATAAATGTACATTTAGTGTTTCGTTGCGTTTTACGAACTCTAAATGAATTATATGCACAACATTACCAAGGAGCTCAGCTTGTGGAGTCGATTGTGGAGATTTATGTCTAGCCACTACCTTTTGCACAGAACATTGTCGCATGTCACCCATTTTTTATCATGTTATGATATGTTTAAGGAACGGTCTGTTATATTTTGTTGTTGCGAGTAAAGGAAATTAATTAGGACTCAAATTAATAATAAAAACATTTTATGACAGCAAAATACGAGAAAACAAGCCTCCTTGTAATTGTAGAACCAGAACGAACTGCCCAGTTGGA